CTCTTGTTGTGGAGCACGGGCTCTAGGTGCACAGGCTTCAGTAGTTGTGGCACATGGGCTCAGTAGTTGTGGCTTTCAGGCTCCAGAGCACAGGCTCAGCAGTTGTGGCGCACGGGCCCAGTTGCTCTGCAGCATGTGGGATCTTCCCGGACCAGGGCTCGAACCCATGTCCCCTGTATTGGCAGGCGGATTCTTAACCACTGCACCACCAGGAAAGTCCAATCATACGATTTTTTTATTCTGCAGTTTGTTAATGTGATGTATCACGTTGATATTTTTGTGTGTGGATATTGAAATATCCTTATTACATCCCTGGGATAAATTCCACCTGATCACTGTGTATGATCCTTTAAATGTATTGTTGGATTTGGTTTGCTAATATTTTGTTGAGGATTTTTTCATCTATGTTCATCAGTGATACTGGCCTATAATTGTCTTTTCTGTGTGTGTGTGTGTGTGTGTGTGTGTGTGTGTGTGTGTTATCTTTGTCTGGTTTTGGTATCAGGGTGATGCTGGCCTCATACAGTGAATTTGGAAGCATTCCTTCCTCAGCAATTTTTTGGAATAGTTTGAGGATAGGTGTTTAACTCTTCTCTATATGTTTGGTAGAATTCACCTGTGAAGCCATCTGGCCCTGGACTTTTGTTGGGAGTTTTTTTTCTTTTAATTACTGATTCAGTTTGAGATTTCAGCACTGGTAATTAGTCTGTTCATTTTCTCTATTTCTTCCTGGTTCAGCCTTGGGAGGTTGTACATTTCTAGGAATTTGTCCATTTTTTTCTAGCTTGTCCATTTTATTGGTGTATGGTTGTTTGTAGTAATATCTTATTCTCCTTTGTACTTCTATGGTGTAGGTTGTAACTTCTCCTTTTTCATTTCTGATTTTATTGATTTGGGCCCTCTTTTTTCCTTGATAAGTCTGGCTAAAGGTTTATTGGTATTTATCTTTTCAAAGAACGAGCTCTTAGTTTCATTGATTTTTTTTTCAGTCTCATTTATTTCCACTCTGATCTTTACGATTTCTTTCTAACTTTAGGTTTTGTTCTCCTTTTTCTAGTTCCTCTAGGTATAAAGTTAGGATGGTTGGTTTGAGATTTTTTTTTTTCCTAAGATAGGCTTTTATTGCTATAAACTTCCCTCTCTGAATTGCTTTTGCTGTGTTCCGTAGATTTTTTTTTGAACAGCTTTATTGGAGTATAATTGTGTTCCATAGATTTTGTGGCGGGGGTCGTTGTGTTTTCATTTGTCTCCAAGTATTTTTTATTTCTTCTTTGACTTTCTTTTTCAGTGATTCATTGGTTGTTTAGTAGCATATTGTTTAGCCTCCACATGTTCGTGTTTTATTGCAGTTTTTCCCCTTGTAGTTGATTTCTTAGCTTTTGTGGTCAGAAAAGATGCGTGATACAACTTCAGGTTTTTTAAATTTGATGAGGTTTGTTTTGTGGCCTAGCAAGTAATCTATCAGGGAGAATGTTCTATGTGTACTTGATAAGAAGTATATTCTGATGTTTTTGTATGGAATGATCTACACATTCTCTTAAGTCCATCTGTTCTAATGTGTCATTTAAGGCTAGTGTTTCCTTATTGATTTTTTTCTGTCTGGATGATCTGTCCATTGATGTAAGTGGGGTGTCAAAATTCCCTACTATTACTCTGTTACTGTCAATTTCTCTGTTTATGTCTGTTAATATTTGCTTTATGTATTTAGGTACTCCTATGTTGGGTGCATATTTACAGTTGTTATATCTTCTTGGATTGATCCCCTGATCCTTATGTAATGTCCTTTTCTGTCTCTTGTTGCAGTCTTTGTTTTAAAGTCTATTTTGTCTGATGTAAGTATTGCTATCCTAACTTTCTTTTGATTTCCATTTGCATGGAATGTCTTTTTTCATTCCCTCACTTTCAGTCTGTGTGTCTCTTTAGATCTGAAGTGAGTCCCTTGTAGGCAGCATATATACGTTTTTATATCCATTCAGCCACTCTGTCTTTTGATTGGAGCATTTAGTTCATTTACATTTGAAGTAATTTTTGATAGGCATGTAATTATTGACACTTTGTTTAATTGTTTTGGGGTTTTTGTTCCCTCATTCTTCTCTTCCCTTATGACACGATGACTATCTTTAGATTGTATTTAGATTCCTTACTCTTTTTGTGCGTGTATCTATTATAGATTTTTCGTTTGAGGTTACCATGAGGTTTATATATAGCAATCTATATATGTGTGATTATTATAAGTTGCTGACCTTTTAATTTCAAACAAACTTTAACATCCCTGCATTTGTACTCCCCTCCCCTCATAATTACTGTGATTTTTTTTTTTTTTTTTGGCCTTGCTGCATGGCACGCGGGATCTTAGTTCCCTGACCAGGGGTGGAGCTTGTGCCCCCTGTCTTGGAAGCGCGGAGTCTTAACCACTGGACCACCAGAGAACTCCCACTGTGATATTTTTGACATCACCTTTTCTGTGTTTTTGTGTATCCCTTAACTGCTTACTGTGGATATAGATTTGACTACTTTTGTCTTTTAACCTTCCTACTAGCTTTGTATGTGGTTGGTTTACTACCTTTAGTGTGTATTTGCTTTACCAATGAGTTTTTTCCTTTCCTAATTTTCATGTTTATAGTTGTGGCCTCTTCTTTTTTGCTTAGAGAAGTCTCTTGAACATTTCTTGTAAAGCTGGTTGGGTGCTGCTGTAAAACTTTTGATCTCTCCCTCAAATCTGAATGAGAGTCTTGCCAGGTAAAGTATTCTTGGTTGTAGGTTTTTCCCTTTCATCACTTTAAATATATTGTGCCACTCCCTTCTGGCCTGCAGAGTTTCTGCTGAGAAGTCAGCTGATAGCCTTATGGGAGTTCCCTTGTGTGTAACTTGTTGCTTTTCCTTGCTGTTTTTAATGTTCTCTCTTTATCTTTAATTTTTGCCATTTTAATTAGAATGTGTCTTGGTGTGGTCCTTTTTGGGGTTGCTCTTGTTGCAATTCTCTGTGATTCCTGGACCTGAATGTCTGTTTCCTTTTCCAGGTTAGGGAAGTTTTCAGCTACAGTGTCTTCAAATAAATTCTCTGTCCCTTTTTCTTTCTCTTTTCCTTCTAGGACGCCTATAATGCTAATGTGAGTACACTTGATGTTATCCCAGAGGTCTCTTAAACCGTTTTCATTTCTGTTCTTTTTTCTCTTCAGCTTCAGTGATTTCCACTACTCTCCTCCAATTCGCTGATCTGTTCCTCTGTATCATGTAATCTACTGTTGATTCCTTCCACTGTATGTTTTTCATTTCATTTATTGTATTCTTCATCTCTGTTTGGTGGTTCTTTATATTTTCTAACTCTTTGTTAAAAACTTCTAACTTCTCACTCTGTTCATCTATTCTCCTCCTGAGTTCTTTGATTATCTTTATGATCATTACCTTGAATTCTTTCTTGGGGAGATTACCTATCTCCGCTTCACTTAACTCTTCTGGGGTTTTATGTTATTCCTTCATTTGGAACACATTCCTCTGTCACCTCATTTTGCCTAATTTGCTATTTTTATTTCTGTGTATCTGGTAGGTTGGTTACATTACCCAGCTTTGGAGAAGCAGCCTTTTGTAGGAGATGTCCTATGTGTCCCAGCAGTGCACTCTCCTCCAGCCAGGCTATATGCCATAGGGTGCCCACTATGTGGACTGCATAGGTCCTTCTGTTGTGTCAGGCTGACTACTGTGGGTGGTCTGGTGGGCGTGGCTGGCCCTGGTCCAGTTGGTTGCCTTTTTTCTTTTAGTAATATTAGCATTAGCTGGATACGTGGTTTCCCAGCTATAGATGATATTTCCCAGCATCCCTTTCAGCTAGGTATGGCCAATGGGATGAGAGTAGAGGAGATGTGAGCCAGAGTGCCTGACCCTTCCCTTCCTCTCCCCTCCTTCCTGTGGAGGGCAGATGCAGTGCTGGTGAATTGGCTTCCACCATGCAAAGGAGGATGACACCCTAGGGTAAGGCAGAGCAACAAAATGGAAGGAACCTTGATCCCTGGGTGACTACATGGAGCAGAGCTGCTCTGTCAACCAGGACCACTGGACTGTTACAGGAGAGAGAGTTCTATCCTGTTTGACCCAGAGTATATTGGGATCTCTCTTATCAGGGTGGTTTAGCCTGTACCATAACTAATCCAGACCCCAAGCCTGGAGTTTCCTAGCCAGAGACAGCTGGAAGTGGTAGGAATTGTGTGAGATATGAGGTTAGAAAACAGGCCTCAGTCCAGTGTTGGATGCTAATTTGCTGTGTGACGCTGGGTAGCTCCTCCAGCCTCTCTGGGCACCTCTACATCCTAGTCCACGTTATAAACTTGCCTCCAATGAGATGAGGTTCGTACAAGACACAAGGCTGGGCATTGTCCTCCAGCCCTCCCTGTGGCTCCTGCCCAGGAGTGCCTGCTGGTCCCGGGCTCCCCTGATCTCCTTCCCCCAGGGTTCCCCTTCTGTATCCCGATGACTCTGCTCCAGCCCCTTGGCAACCCCTTGCTCCCAGAGTCCTGCAGCCTCCTGTCTCCTCCTCTCTGCTCCACCCTCTGGGAGGCAGGTCAGAACCCTCCAAGGCCCCCATTGCCTGGGGGATGGAGTCCTAAACCCTCCTCTGTCATCAAGGGCGCCCTGACCTGCCCCCTCCCTGCCAGGCATCTGCCCTCGTCCCACCGTCTCTGTAGTGCTTCATCCTCCTTGGCTCGAACTGATCCCTCTCAGCTGAGCTCTCAGAACTCTCTCTTCTTTTTTTCTTTTTTTTTAATAAAAATATTATCAGGGCTTCCCTGGTGTCGCAGTGGTTGAGAGTCCGCCTGCTGATGCAGGGGACACAGGTTCGTGCCCCGGTCCGGGAAGATCCCACATGCCGTGGAGCGGCTGGGCCCATGAGCCATGGCCGCTGAGCCTGCGCGTCCGGAGCCTGTGCTCCGCGAGGGGAGAGGCCACAGCAGTGAGAGGCCTGCGTACCGCAAAAAAAAAAAAAATTAAAAAAAAATATTATCAAACCATTACCTTTGATAATCGACTTTATTTGTGGAGTTTTTTGTATACACAAAAATTCTAATGTTCGTATATTCACATATGCCTTCACATTCTTACATAGCTTTGGGGTTTGCAGTTTTAATTAACAACCCTCTCTTCTACCTCAGGGTAGCCCGGATTTCACCCACGTTGCACGACTTGCCATTGTATCTTTCTCTCCTATGAGAGTTTAAGGTAGATGAGGCCAGGCAGCTTGGCCTCCTCCTTCCTGTGACCCCATGAGGCCTGGTACCTACTGTGTGCTCAGGAAAGAGGGGCTCTGGGTTCTGTACTAATGGGGGCCCTTTCTGGCACCGCACTTTTGCTCTCACTGTTACCTCACATGAAATGCCCTTCCCTCCTCTCTGCCTATCTAAATCCTATCCCTCTTCTAGAGCTAGTTCAAGGCCAGCTCCACCAGGAAGCCTGCAGTGATCACGCTGCCCGCCTTGGAGTTCCCCCAGCCCTGCCTGGCCTTCCACAATTCCTGAGGCATGAGTAGTTTCCCCGGTGGACCGGGGGACACAGAGTCCCTGCAGCAGGCATGCTGTGGGGAGGAAGGGGAGGAGACCCTGGGAACCCAGGGAAGAGATTCTGGACTGGACCGGGCAGAAGAGTGTACAGCTCCACTCCAAGGGCAGGGGAGACTGCAGCAGGTACAGGCTGATCCAGCAACCTTAGGGCAGTGTGGACCCTGGCAGCAGGAATGCAGGGGCTGCTAGGGAATCTGGGAGGAACCCAAGGAAGGGATGGCTGCCGGGCTCTGAACTGGGGCCAGTCTCAGAAGGAGCCTGCACCTCCAGGGTTCCGAGGATGTGGCCAGGCTGTTCCTCGAGGCTGGTCTGGTGGTGGCCAGGCTGCCCAGGGGGCCCACAGACTGGGCTAGCAACCTCAGCAGGAGATGAGGAGGGAGTTGCTGAGTGCTGGAGCTGCAGAGGCTGGTGCCAAGGGCTCTCTACGCAGGAGCTCACAGCCAGCCAGAGCTCGGTGCAGGGCATCCAGCATGGCTGAGGGGCCAGACGTCCCCTCTGAAAAGGAAGAGTGGGCAGCAGGGCGGGTCAGTCTGCTCATTCTGGCCCACAGAGCTGCTCCCCCGCCTCCCTGGGCCCTCCCCAGCCCTGTTCAGCTGTCCCCCGCTCTTGCTTCTCTCCCACTGAGGACCCTGGGGAAGGGACCTTCTAATGCACAGTTTCTGACCTCCTTCTTGGTGCCAGGGACCATTCAGGGCACTGGACATACCTGAGCCCTGCCCAGCAGTGCCCAGTGAGGCCAGCGAGCAAATGCTCATCAGCCGTCTGTCTCCCCGCCAGCCTGTGAGGCCCTGTCAGGCAGGAGCCGGCCTTGCTCCTCCTGATTTCATTGGGCACAAGCTGGCACTGATGAAATTCTGCTGCCCTGAACTTTGTCTAAACAACGGGGCCACGTGGCCTAGTACTTAAGGGAGAGACCTGAGGTTTTGGCACGGCTGGCCCTTGGCCTCTCTGTGCCTCCGTCTTCCCATCTGTGGAATGGGTATGATAACAGCCCTTCCTCCGCAGTAAGCCCAGGACTGTGGGTGAGTCTAAACTGCCCACAGGGAACTGCCTGGCTCCCCTGGGGTCTGGCCACACTGGCTTCTGTTTGGCCTTTTCCCTGGGGTGTGTGCTCCCTGCTCTTGTCAAATAGCACCTTCCGCTTCCCGAAGCCTGTTCCTGAATGTACCCTTTGCAGGTGGGCAGGGCAGGAATGAGGTGGCATTTTGCAGCCCAGACACTTAGGACAGAGGTGCTAGGTCAGGATGCCCTCCAGCTGCAGCCAGGCTCTGGAAGATCGGGTCGGGGGCTCACCTACCATGTGCAGGGTCCCTGCAAGCGTCCAGTGTGCTCAGCAAGATCTTCCCCAGGGCTCTTTTCGATATGTTCTTAAAAAGAAATGGAGGGCGGGTGGCACTTGGTGGCCCTTTCGAGCTTCTGTGTGGCTCCCTGTGTCAGATAGTGTCCCCCTGCCCATGGTCCCTCCCTGGCCCCCACCCCTAGGGTGGCCGCACTGCCCAGACTCTAGGTGGGTGATGGAGCAGCACGCAGGACCCATTTCTTCAGCGATCACGTGCTTACAGATAACTGTCCTTGGGCCCAAGTAGGCACTTGGGAAACGACTGTGAACAGAGAGCCTCTTGATGCGTCAGCTCCTTTAATCCTTGAAAGAGCTTATTTCATTCTCATTTTAAGCAGTGAAAAAAGCAATTTGGGGGACTTCCCTGGTGGCGAAGTGGCTAAGAATCCACCTGCCAATGCAGGGGACACGGGTTCGAGCTCTGGTCCGTGAAGATCCCACATGCCGCGGAGCAGCTAAGCCCGTGTGCCACAACTACTGAGCCTGCGCTGTAGAGCCCGCAAACCACAACTACTGAGCCTGCATGCCTAGAGCCCATGCTCCACAACTAAAGAAGCTACCGCAATGAGAAGCCCGTGCACCACAACAAAGAGTAGCCCCTGGTCACCGCAACTAGAGAAAGCCCGCGCACAGCAACAAAGACCCAACACAGCCAAAAATAAATGAATTAATTTTTAAAATTTTTTTTAAAAAAGCAGTGCTGAAAAAGTGAGAAATCTGCCCAAAGCCACCCAGCTGGGAGATGGAAGAACCAGCATTTGCCCGCAGGCTCCATGGCCCAGAGCTGTGCTGGGAACCACTACCCTCACAGCCCACAGGTGCGGGGCTGCCACTTGCCACTCTCCCAGGCTGTGTTACATCAGGCTGGACCTCGGTAGCCCTACATCCTGGGCAGCCTGAAGCGCAGGCAGAGCCCACTTCAAACCCTGAAGACCTGTGTTCACATCCTACTTCCAGCTCATAGTGGCTGTGCAATCCTGGCTAAGTTAGTGTCTCTTAAGAAAAATTTTTAAATGGTTTGCTGATGCTATTTAGAAATATTGATCTCTGTCTTATGATTTTTTAAAAATTGGGCACCTTGCCAAAGAATAACAATAATTTGCCTTTAGATTCTCTTCGGTATTCTATGTGGATAAATGTGATACATAATTACTAATCACTTTGTTTCTTCCTTTCTAGTCCTTACATCCTTTCTTTTTCTTTTTATTTATTTATTTATGGCTGCGTCGGGTCTTCGTTGCTTTGTGCGGGCTTTCTCTAGTTGTGGTGAGCGGGCTCTAGGTGCATGGGCTTCAGTAATTGCAGCATGTGGGCTTAGTAGTTGTGGCTTGCAGTCTCAGTAGTTGTGGCGCACAGGCTTAGTTGCTCCGCGGCATGTGGGATCTTCCCAGACTAGGCCTCGAACCCGTGGCCCCTGCATTGGCAGGCGGATTCTTAACCCCTGCGCCCCCAGGGAAGCCCACATCCTTTCTTTTTCTTGTGCTGCTGCATTGGCTAGAACCTCTACGTGGCACAAGCAGTGATGACAGGCATGCTTGTCTTGATTCTGATTTTTAGAAGGATTCCTTCTAACTTTTCACTAATAAGTGTGAGGTTTGTGAGAGGTAGTTGGCTGAGACTCCTAATCTGATTAAGGACGATGCCTCCTGTTCTTAACTTGCCAAGAGGTTTTATAATAAGAGGAGCTGTTACTGACTGTTCATCTATTGAGATGAACACGTGGTTTTTCTCCTTTTAATCTGCAGTGTGCTGTACTGTGTTAATAGATGTTTGATCTTGAATCATCCTGAATTCCTGGGATAAATCCAATTTAGTCATATTGCATTTCCTTAAACACTGCCAGATTTGGTTTACTAATATGCCATTTAATATTTTTGCATCCATATTTAAATATGACATTAGCTTATCATTTTCCTTTCTTATTGTATTTATTGTCCTCTGGTTTTGAGATCAAAGTTATATTAGCTTCATAAAATGAATTAGAGAGCCTCCCCTTTTTTTGGATTAGCTTCCCTGAGCTCTTTCTACATCTGGAAGTAGAGATGACACCTGCCTACGTAGGGAAAGCTCAGAGCCAGTCCCCGACACAGGCTGGGCTCCCCAGCCCCGCACCCCAAGCTCCTCCCCTGCCCTGGCTGTGCCAGCTCCCGTGAGCCTACCAGGTCCCGGAGCCTCTGCAGGAGCCGCAGCACGTCCTCCAGCTTCTCCTCCAGCAGGGACAGCCGCACCCTCTCTGTCTCCACCATCTGCAGCTCCAGCCTCAGGTGCTCATTCTCGTCCACCTTCTGCTGCAGCTCTGCCTGTGGGGACCAACCGGCTCAGCGCCCGCCCTGCTGCCCTCTGCCCCGTACTCACAGCACCGTCCCCAGGCGGGGCCCATGGCCTGCCTTGACCCTTTCACAGAGGTCGTCTCATCTGGCCCCCCAAGCCTGCCAGGTGGCCAGGCACATAGAAGCCCCACTGTCTCCCCAGGGATGGCAGCGAGGCCCAGAGAAGCTGAATGCCGGGCCTGAGGCCACACAGTGCGTCAGGCTGATGTAAGAATACACATCCTTCCTTTTCTGGTGGAAGGACTCCATCCTCCCTTCTCTTCTCTATCCATCTGCTTTTACTTTTAAAGTTTTTTGGCTGCAAGCAACAAACCGATCTGGCTAGTTTGAACAGAAAGGGAATTCACTGGCAGGCTAGTGCCTTGTTCCCAGAAGGGACTGGAAGCTGGAGAACCTCAGGATGAGGCAGCAGAAACATCTCGAGCCTCTTGTCCGGGTGCTGCAGCTGAGAACACTCTCCAGCCATTCCCCCCACTCCCCCCCCACTCGGGACAGAGAGCCCCAGGAGAGGGGCCCCACTGGCCCAGCCACAGTCACTGGCCCACCCCTGGCCAGGGCGCACTGACGCTGTTGATCCCATCAAAATACCAGAGGGTGGATGGTGGGAGGTCGCAAAATGTTGCATGGCCACCTGCCTTCCAAAGCAGGGATGGCAGGAGTGAGGCAGCCCCCTCTCTTAGCACCGATGGAGGGAAAGAGAAGCAGCTGAAGGCATGGTGCCATTGGACGCGCAGCTTTGGGCAGGAGAGAGGAGGCCTGGGAACATAGTCAGTAACTGAGCTCTCCAGACGCCTGTTTGAGATTTAATTAGAAAGGAGTGGTCGCTATGCCCTTTGGAACTGTATCAGATCACAGATACGTTTAAAAAACAAAAGAAAACAAAACAGTATGGATTTAGAATTTCAGGCATATAAATATAAAACTCTTTTATCAAAATCAGTTTGCAAAAGTGCATTGTGCTAGAGGGCTCAGGGAAATAATAACTTTCCATGGCACTCCATGCTTGATTACTATGGAACAGGGAAGTTGCCATGGTGTAGACAGACGAGAAAAAACATGCCAAGTGGTCTTGTTGAGATGGAGACACCTCTCTTGGTGTTGCCCGGCGCCACCCTTCTCCTCCACAACAAACTCACTAACTTTCCTTGAGGGAAGTGTCCCTCGTCCATTTCATCTGACTTTGATGGAGCTGCCAATCATGGGACCCTGCCCGCCTACCATGCGGGTTAGCCCTGGCACGGACGCATGACTGAGCCTGGACCATTGGAGCTCTTCCCTGAGGTTTAATGTACTGGGCTATTATTGTTCCCCCGGGGTTTCTTCAGTGGGCTGATGGGAGCCTAGAGCTGCCTGTGGTCCTACCTTCCCTTCCCCCGCCACATGGAGCAGGCCCCTCTGAAGTAGGGGAAAGTGAGGTCAGCACCCAGAAAAATACAGAGCAGATAGGTGGAGGCAGTCTGAGTCCCTCAATCCATCTTAGGAAGCTGAAGTGCCTGAAGCTCATCTTAGCTGTTCTTTTGAAGCTGTTCTCCCAGCTCCGTATTCTAATAAATTCCTGTTTTTCACTCGAGCTGATCTGAGATGTATCCTTTAGCTTGCAACCAGAATATTCTTCATCAGACCTAAATCATCTTCTCTCTGAGTCTTGGTTTGTGCCTCTGGAAATGGGGCACAGCACTTGGCTGAGGTCCCTCAGTTCCGCCTGTGAGAGACTCTAGCATTGCTCCAGCTCTCAGCCTGTGGGACTCAGCTGACCTCCTCCCCTGGTGTCCCCAGGGTCTTCCCACTGCAGCCCTGGGTCCCCAGCTGCTCCAGCTCCCCCAGGGCACGGGCATGGTCGGCACTGCCAAAGTGGGTGAAGTAGGTCACGAGCTTCTTGGCCGTCTGGTCATCACACCTGCAGTGGAGGAGAGTGCAAGCACTGAGGGAGCTGCTTTCCAAAGTCTGCTCCAATCTTGGGGGGGGGTGTTATTACCAAGTCTGTCTCCCCTGAAAGCTGAGCGGGGCTATGGCACCCCCTGCTCACCCACCCCCGCGGCCCCTTATCTCATCAGAGCAAAAGCCAGAGGCCTCGCCCCCTCTGCCCCGTGACCTCCCGACCTCCCTCCCACCCACCTTCACTCATTCTACTCCAGCCACCGCAGGCTCCTTATGGCCCCTCCTGCATGCCTCTGGGCCTTTGCACTTGCTGTTCCCTCTGCCTGGAATGCTTTTCCCTCATTTCCTTCAGGGCTCTGCTCAAATAGCACCTGCTCAGAGGCCCTCCCCTGCCCCACCTCTCCCTCACACCTGTCACCACTCACTGGAACAGAGGCTACAGGGCGGAGGGCCTGTCTTGGTTAATGCTGTTTTCCTGATGCCCCCAAATTTGTTTGGCACAGAGTAGGTGCTTAGTATATGTTTGTTGACTTAAAGGGTTGGTGATAACAATGACCCTGGAAAATCAACGGAACCTTACAATATCATTTAAAAAGTCAAGGCCGCCCCCCAGTGGAGTACCTGCTGGGATCGGGTACCCGTGGGGCATTTTACATCCTCGATGGAGAATCCTCACAAAACCTCTGTCAGACAGGTGTTACTGTCCCATCTGAGAGACAGGAAGACTGAGGCTCAGAAGTTGGGCGACTTGGCCGAGGCGCCCCAGGTGTCGGGAGCAGTGGGTTAGGAAAGGGACTGATGTGTTGAGGGTCCCACTAGAGCTTCGGGGCAGGTCCTGGGACCGCGGCCAAGGGAGTGAGAGTCAGTGGGGATTAAACCACTGCCTTCTCATCTCATTTCACCCTCACACATGCCGGGCGCTGTCTTCTCCCCTCCCCCAACAGATGACGGGACAGAGCGTCAGAGGGCATGGAGGTGACCCAGCCTGGACGTGAATCGGGGGGGTCAGCCTCCCACGTTCAGGGTCTGTCACTGCACGGAGGGGCCGCCCTGTGCTTCCAGGACGACTGTGAGAGCCCGGCGCCCTGGTGCCCAGTCCTGGGCGTCCTCACCGGCACACGCACCCACGCCCGCAGCTGGAGAGGCCGGCCAGCAGGGCCTTGACCTCAGCCGGTGGCCCCTGCTCCTGCTGCCACTTCTCACTGTTGTCCTCCTCGTCGGAGGCGGCCTGGCCCTCGACCGAGCGGAACAGCTGCTCGTCCACTGCTGGAGAAGCACGGGCTGCAGATAAGGGACAGAGGGAGGGGAAGCAGGCAGCTCTCCGGGGGGGTGCAGGGGGGAGGGGAGAGAGGCCCTGGTGCCATCTCCCCTGCCGGTCCCTCACCGCCTCCGCCAGATAGTGGCTCTCCCACCCCCTTGGGCTGTGCCGTGCGGCCCCTTCCCGTGTGCCTGGCCCAGGACCCCCTCCCTGGGTTTCACACGGGGACACTGGGAGCGAGGAGCCTTCCTCTCTTCTCTGCTGAGAAGCCGGGGCCCATCTGTGCCCTCAACGGGCGTGTTATTTCCCACTGAGGACATGGTGATCCCAGCCAAGGGGGCCAAGACCCTCTCTCGGGCTGGGCCGGGGCTCTGCAGGGCACGGGCACCCAGTGAATCGATCTTCAACTCTCAGGGACCTCATTCCTCCAACGCCCAGGGATGTGCAGGGAGGGGTGTCACACGTGTGACTTGATGTGATCCCCGACGTGGCCATGCCTCCTGGTGCACTCCAGCCGGAATGAGCGTCAGAAACCCCGGGCTGTGTCATGCCTGCCTGGGGTCCGGCTGCCCCGCGTCAGGCCCCGTCTCCGGGGGCACCTCCACTCCACCCTGGCTCGGGGGATATGTGAGTCCAGCCTGGCCGGTCAGAGCGCAGACCACCCAGCCACATGACTGGTGCAGGCAGGGCCAGGGATCCAGCGTAGCCAGGGAGAGTCAGGCCAAAACTTGACTCAAACTTCCAGAGAAGGGTGACACTGCTGTTCCTCCAGCCTGGGGTCTGGAGGGCGTGGGTCTGAGCTGCTGGGGGCCGCCTTGTCAGTGTGACGGGAGCCCATGCACAGGACGGCAGGTGAGGCCGGGAGGGATGGGGTCTGCTGACACTCTTGGGCCTTTAAGTGAATTCTGTGAAGCAGCAAGTTCCCTTTAACTAGAGCCGGTTCAGGCCGAATGGCCTGACACTCCCGGACAGTGTCCTGACTGGCACAGCCGTGGAATCCTCCACCTTCCCGCCCCCAGAGCATCACGCTCAGCAGCTTGGGGGTGGGCCTCGACGCCTGTATTTCTTTCTTTCTTTTTTTTAAACAAATTTATTTATTTTTAATTTTTGGCTGCATTGGGTCTTCGTTGCTGCACGCGGGCTTTCTTTAGTTGCAGCGAGTGGGGGCTACTCTTCGTCACGGTGCACGGGCTTCTCATTGCGGTGGCTTCTCTTGTTGCGGAGCACGGGCTCTAGGCGCACGAGCTTCAGTAGTTGTGGCTGGCGGGCTCTAGAGCAAAGGCTCAGTAGTTGTGACACACGGCCTTAGTTGCTCCGCGGCATGTGGGATCTTCCCGGACTAGGGCTCGAACCCGTGTGCCCTGCATTGGCAGGCGGATTCTTAACCACTGCACCACCAGGGAAGTCCCTGGGCACCTGCATTTCATGAGGCTCCTGGGTGATCCTGGCCGGCTGGCAAGTTTGGGAACCACTGGCTCAGGTGTCCTGATTTTGGACACCCAGCTGGGTGGGCTCAGGGCCGTTCTGTTTTGTCTCAATAAAGTGTCCCAGACCCAAGAGAACAGGGTTGAGGTGACTGGTCCATGACTTTTTGATTATGTGTGTTTCCAATATTGATCATTTGTTTTTCGTTGTGGGAATTTCCTGATGATGTTGATGATGTGTGTGTGTGTGTGTGTGTGTGTGTGTGTGTGTGTGTGTGTGTGTGTGTGTGTGTGTGTGGTGTCATTATCGTCACAGTCGTCCCGGTGCCCGAGGCAGGGGCAGTAGGGGCCCTGACGTCGGGTGGGAGGGATGGCACCCAGCAGCCCGTCCACTCCTGCCTGCAGCTGAGCTGCAAGAGCCCTACTGGCTCAGACAGCTTTTCTCTCCTTTCCTCCTGATGCTCCACAGCCACCAGACCCAGGTTCATTAAGATGATGGGCCTCTTTGAGCTCTTCTTGAGGGGTGACCGTCCAGCCCTACTTACACACCTCTTAGGATGGGGAGATTACTCCACCCCAGCTCCCTGGCCCGACCCACCCCTACACGGGATTGACAAGAGACATATTCTCCCATGCTGAGCCAGAACCTGCCTCCCTGGATCCCAACTTCCCCCACTGGGTGTCTGCTCTCAGGCCCGGGTGTAGGGGGGGCTGGGGGCTGGGGGCTGCGGACGCCCAGCCTCAGCAGGTAGGGGATGGGGTTCTGTCTGGAGGCCAGATTGCAGCATCAGCTCAGACAGGACCCTGGGAGGAGGGCTGGGGCACAGCCTGGTCAGTCGTGAGCTGGCAGCAAGCCTGGGTGTGCGGGACAAACCTTCGTGCAGGGGTCTGCTCCCCGAGCTGCTGTCGGAGCCCCAGGCTCCCTCTGGAGGGAGGTCTGGGCCTCTGGTCCCACCATCCTCAGGTTCACCACTCTTGGCTTGTGGCTCTGGGCTGGCTCGTGGTGAGGTTGGGAGGTGGCTGTCCTCCGACCTGTGGGTGTGGGAAGACACAGGTGTTGGGAGGGAGGGGGCTCAGCCAGTTTCCTGCGGGAGAGCGTGGGGTATGGGCCCGCCCTTCCCCACTCCCTGCTCTGCACAGCTAAGCTGTGATATGCCTGCAGAAGCCCCTGTGTGGTCTTCGTGGCTGACCCCATTGGCTCCCTACCCAGTGGCCAGTATGGCCGAGTCAGCCTTCCACAGTGGATATTCACCCAGCCTCCCTTGTAGCTAAGACGTAGGCTTGTAACTGAATTTTAGCCAATGGGACTAAAGGGAAAATCTTCTGAGGAGCGTCTGCATCCGGGAGGGCTGGGCAGGGGTCCTTGATTCCGACCCCAGCGCTGCCAACAGGAACTGGCAGTGGGACTTGGGCTCCATTTTGCAGGTGGGTCACTGGAGCCGATGCCTCTGAGGTCCTCTCAGCTCTGATTGGGTTCTTGCGGTCGGGCCTCAGTGAGAGGGCAGGGACCCGGAAGCCATTAGCTTGTCCAGGAGCTCCTCTGGCCACGTGCCGGTCAGGGGGACCACAGCAGCTGTCCCGGAGTAACTGGGACACGGGGAGAAGGCACTACAGAGAGCCTGAACAGGCGTGGGCGCACAGGGTTGGTCAGGTGAACTCACCACCCAGAGGACCACCGGCTGAGCCAAACAAGTGGGGGTCTGCAAGGTTGTACCTGAGGCCCAGGGTGAGCCATCCGCCGCTTGGGGCCATCCAGCACCCCTTCCCCAGGGGTGACAGCTCCCCGATTGTCCCCACCCCCAGCCACAGGCTGCTCACCTGCACAGAGGAGGGCGTAGTACACAAATCAGCGTAATCCCACCCCCAGCCACCATGATTGGCTAAGGGCTGCACAGGTATAGCCAATGAGATGCAAGGAGCTGTAGGCTTGGGGAATTTCCCCGAAACAGAGGCAGCCTCTCCCCAGCCGAGCAGGTGTGCGGTGGGGAGATGTGACAGCCACCTGTGACTTTTAGTGGGCCACCTGGAGATGCTGGGGGCTACGGATAGAGCCTAACAATGACGGTGACAGGAACGGATCCTTGGTAACATCATTAGAGTTGCTGGATCAGGCTCTGCCTGAAGCTAGAGCTAAGCCTAACCTTCGGTGGTTTTTTTTTTTTTTTTTTTTTTTTGCCGTATGCGGGCCTCTCACTGTTGTGGCCTCTCCCGTTGCGGAGCACAGGCTCCGGACGCGCAGGCCCAGCGGCCATGGCTCACGGGCCCAGCCGCTCCGCGGCATGTGGGATCTTCCCAGACCGGGGCACGAACCCGTGTCCCCCTGCATCGGCAGGCGGACTCTCAACCACTGCGCCACCAGGGAAGCCCTAACCTTTTGTGTTTTATGAGCCGGTAACTCTGACTGATAAAGTCCTGCTTTCAGGGTCCCCCAGTGCAAGCCGAGAATGGGAAGGTGCTTGGCAGTAATCGGTGTGAGACCCCCCTGGATGGGGATTCTTGGTCCAAAGAGAAACCGTGTGATTAGAGCTTAGGTCATATCATTTGAGGTCTACTTGGGCAGGTGACAGTCCCTCTCAATTCCAGAGGCTCAGACCACAGCCAAAAGAAGAGAAGACACAGGGGTATAGGGTCCCTGTCTCCAAGACTCAGGGGAGGAGGCAGGTAGCCTTTATGTGGCCCCAGAGGGCAGTGCTTGACCAGGATGAAGGGGGAGGGGGAGCAAAGACGAGAGAGAGTCAAAAGAAGGCAGTTTCAGCTCCCTTTGAGGAAAAACTTTCTCACAAGGACTGCTGACCAAGAATGGAATGGGCGGCGTTGGGAGGTGGTGAGCTTCCTGGCAGAGGAGGTATGTAAGCAGATAAGGGACTTTAATGGGTGGAATTTTGAATAGAGTCAGACTAGGCAATGTCTAAGTCTTCCCGCTGTGAGGAATTAATTTTTTCCCTAAATTATTTAAGGGCTTCAACAAGCAAAATGAGATGGGGGGACAGCCCTTATTCAAAGTTTCCTAGCAGAGGCTGGGCCTCCCCTCCCTGCATCCCCTCAGCCACTGGAGTCTCAGAAGCCGTGTCCAAGAGCGACTTCCTGCGTCAACACAACAGTAAATCTTTCAGCATGCTCGCTTGGTACCAGGCACTGTTCTAGGGCTTTGAACATTTCCTCACAACAACCCCACAAGGTAGGTACCATCATCCCCCCCATTTTGCCAGAGTAACTGCCTCAAGCCGCACAGCTCGGAAGCGGAGGAGCTGGGTTTACACTCAGGCCCCTGTCTCCAGGCCCGCGTCTCGGTGGCCCCACCAGGTGCAGCGGAAGCTTGCAAGGCAAGCTTGGAATGGCCCAGCCCAGCTGCTGTCCTCGTTAGGTGACCACAGGTCACATGCAGCAAAGTGGGGAAGAGGAAGCCAGCGAGGACAGAGTTCAGAGAGTGGGACGGATGAGGACACACTGGAATTTTCCAAGTGCAACGGGGCTGCAGAGAAACAGTGGGGTGTTACTCTCGTCCAGCAACTGGTCTCTAACGGCCTGTATCGCTGCCCCTCTCTCTGCTGGGTCGATCTGCAGGATCGTTCGCGTGTCACACAGATGAGCTGTAATATCTCCACCTTGAAACAAACGCAACAACCCTCCCACCATGTGGCTCCTCCACCCGCTTCTCTGCCTGCTCTGCTCACATCTTGTCACCCGGCACCGCCACACTGCCGGGCCTGCCGAGGCAGGGCTGACCCCACATCGCTCCCTCACTGGATGCCTCCTTCCCTCGGCTTCCGGGAGACGCTCAACCTCCCCTGCACCCTTTCTTGTCTGCTCTGCTACTTCCTCCTCTTCATCCTGGCCCCTAACCCCCACGGCCCTCGGGCACCACCCGAGGACCCCCTCCCTTCTTCGTGTGCGCTCCCTCTGTAAGGTCTCAGCCGTGCTGTGGCTTCAAGCACCAGTGGCTTCCAAATCTGCCTCTAGCTCTGGCTTCTCAGATCTGGTTTCCCAGTGAGCTCCCAGCGCAGCTGCTGCCTTGGCATCTCCACCTGGATGTCCCACAGGCATCTCCACCGCCTCCTTGTCTTACTCCGTCTGCCTCTCCTGCTCCTCCCGTCCCCGTGTAAAGCGCCGTCACCCACTTGGCCACTCAAACAGTGTCCGTTGGGTTTGGCCACCTGGAGGTCATATGCAGGGCCTAGTCCGGGGGGGCCTCAGCAACGGTGCTGGGCGGAGGGCTGCAGTATAGATGCTATTCTGTGGCGCCTACAGTGCCTGGGTCCGTGCAGGCGGGGGTGGGCGGGGAGAGGGGCGCAGTCCCTGCCCTCAGTGGTCCTCTGGGTGGAGACATGGGACCATCAGGCAGGGAGAGCAGAGACAGCCCTCATTCTTCAGGGCCGTGCCCGCTGGACGCAGGGCTGGACCTCCGCCAGACAAGGAGGGCGTGGGTCTGCAGGGCAGGGCGGGGCGGGCAGCCTGAAGGAGGCAGGACCTGGGGTTGAGCAGCATGAAAGAGGCCTGGGCGGAAGAAGAGAGGTGGCAGGTGTTTGGGGACCAACGGGGGCAGCAGGGCCAGGGTAGCGGGCTCGCAGAGCAGACCAGAGAACGGGGGAGCTGGCCCTGACCTGGCACCCTGCTCTGGGCTGGGCCTTGGTGTGCTATTCCGGGCAACCCTCATCCCTGGGCTCTGAGGTTGCTGTTTCTCAGAGGACGAAAAGATTATGTCACAGAGGTGTTGGGGGCAGGACGGTGATGCGGAGCTGCCCACGGCCCACTCCCTGCTTCACAGGCCCCACTGAGCTGCATACTACAGGTGGTGGAAGCATGTGTTAGGCTGACCCAGATGGAATTGCTGACTTCCTGCTTTTGACCTGCACAAGGCCACCTGAGAGTGGTTCAGACTAAGAGGACACGTCTGTGTAATATTTCTTGATTGACCGACTGCAAACCCTCACTGCAGTAGTTTGTGAAAGGCTTTCTTGCAATAGTCCGGCCTTAGAAATCTGACAGCTCTTGGCCCTGGGACTGGACCACAGGGCCCAGTGGTTTAATGAGGGTTTCCCATAAGAACGAGATCCCTGGGGTTGGCTCTGGGGAGATGCAGTGACCTGGGCAGGTGGAGCAGGTGGAGCTCACCTGTGGCGCCCCCCTGACTTGCAGCTCTAGCTTCTTTGAATGCTCCAGCCCCAAAGTCACAGAGAGGACCCTGTAACCTGATAAGTATGTGTCTCTTTCCACCCACCCCCAGGCCATCAGCACTTGCTGTCATGGCCATTTTCTGGAAAACAGCTCTGACCCTGCTCCAAAGCCTTCTGTGTCTTCCCATGGCTGACCGGACAGGTCCAGATCCCCACATATTCCAGCCGCTCCCCAAGCTAGTTTCCGCAAGTGATGACGCTAAGATCCGGAGGAGGAAGGGATATATTTTGTTCAAGAGGGTCCCGCAGGTGGCGAGAAGTCCCACTGCCCACCTCCACTTCTGTACTCCAGTCCCCACTCTACTCTGGCTGCCAAAGGGAGCAGAGGTCAGCTCTGACCCCGTCCATCTTCCCTGCGAAATGCTTCAGTGGCTCTCTGTGGCCAAGAGAAAGAACGCCAGTGTCCTTAACACAACCTCGAGGGTCCTTCACGGTCTGGTCTGACCCGGCCCGGCCCTCCAGCTCATGGCTGCTGATGCTGCCTGGGCATGGCAGAGCCAGACCCACAGACCCTCCGGCGCGTTGCCCTCTAGGTCCTTGTACGTGACGACCATGGCCAGCACCTTACTGTGTGTCAGATGCTACTCTGAGTGCTTTTTTCCCTTATATATACAGATTTAATTTTTTAAAATTGAAGTATAGTTAAATTACGTTATGTTAGTTTCAAGTGTACCGCAGTGATTCAATTATACTTGTGTGTATGTGTATGTATACACACACACACACATATTCTTTTTCAGATTCTTTTCCTGCATAGGTTATTACAAGATACTGAGTAGAGTCCCCTGTGCTCTACAGTAGGTCCTTGTTGCTTACCTATTTATTTTATAGATAGTATGTACGCTCTGAGTGTTTTAATGAAAAAAGTCATCTATTCCTCCCAGCAGCCCTAAGAAAAACTTACTCTCATTCCTACCATTTCACAGATGAGAAAACTGACGTCCAGAGCTGGGGAAACTTGCTGAGACCGCACAGATCCCTCGAGCTGCAGTGTGTACCCATCCCGAGCTAGTTCTGCCTGGAAAACCCTGCTGGTCCTTCAACCACCCACCTGCCGGGTCCCCGACACAAACGTCGCTTCCTTTCAGAACTTGCCTCCCTACCTGGATGCCCTGAGCTCCCACGGTCTCCAGCGGCTGTTGTGCTGTGTTTCCCCCATCAGACGGCGTTTCCTGGAGGGCAGCCAGCACAGGACAGAGTGGCCCGTCAAGGTTTGTTGAACGATGAATGCGGGAACGGATGAATGACACCACTGGCAGCAGTTCACGGTGACTAGCGGGAGGGCAGGTCAGGCGAGGGCAAGCCCAGCGCCCCGGGGGGGATTCCAGCTCCTCCTGTCCCTCTGTTCTTGGATTGTTCCAGAAAGACAGGAGAGCGCTAGCTTTGGAGCCACAAACCGGGGGCGAGTCCCATCCCCATCACTGCCGAGTCCCATGGATGGGGGCTGACAGAGGGGTGGACCCTCCAGGTGAGAGGGTGAGGAAGACCTTCCCAAACTGCAGGCATTTTGGGTCACTGGCCCTATTGTTGACTAATACAGATTTCCTTTCATAGGAAACATTATCACCAAGAGTAAAAAGCCACTGTCTCTTGCCATAAATAGAAGGTAACCAGAAAAACAAAGACAACAAAACAGCCAGTTCTAGCTAGATCCTGTTTTCAGGCTGTTCTTTCTTTGTTAAAAAGAGAGGGTGGCTAAGGGGAGTTAGAGATTCACCCGGTCAGCCCAGGACCTGAGACAACCAGGACTGCAAAGGCCGGCAGAGGCCCTCGCTGGCCTGTGACCCCACGTCCACCCCCTGCCCACCTCGGGCCACTCTCCTCTGGGGGCACGGAGGGGCTGGGGGACCTGCAGAGACACCTGTCACCCCACAGGCACAGCGGAGCACCTCCCTCTCAGCTGCAGGCCCTCCTGGGGAGAGGCGGGCCCATGGTAGCCCACGGTCCCCTCACGCCCGGACAGACCACGTCCTTGTGCCAGCAGGGCGTTCCCTCCAGCTGTGCACCTCTGCGTGCCGCCCTGAGCCCCGAGTGAGCCTCCCTCTGACGCCTTCTTCCTGCTGGAGCCCGGCGGCCAACACGATCTGACAAGGGCCAGATGTTCCCCTCTACTCCTTCCAGCCCTGGCAGCTCACGCCCAGCTCCGGGCCTCCGACGGACATAGCCTCCCTTGGTTCTGTGATGCAAAGGGGGGTTCTCGGGAGCTGCCTAATCTGGGTTCCACCCCACAGGACCGTGGCTTTCCGATGTGACGCTCCGCAACTGCCCCTGCCCCCCGGCCTCCATCTCAATCCTCTCTTCATTCACCAGTAAACACTGATGGGCCCTGGGGTCCCATGAAGATGAAAAGAAATAACGGTATTTTTAAACACGGGGAGCTCCTGCCTCCGTTTAGTATTCAAGGGGATTTTAGGTGGCATTCGGATGAACAGGTTGTGTGAGTGTGTGTGTGTGTGTTAAACAGTTAAGTATTTAGTATAATGTGTACTAAAGACAATTAATGAACCATTTTAGTTTTATGTTTATGACAGCGATAAAACTTCCTTTTAAATTAAGTAAAAAGAGTGAGATGATTTAAGGAAAAATAGTAACTAAAGGATAACAATACGGGTGCTCTGCAGGTATGGTTAAAGGTGACACAGCTCCTGGGAGAGTGTCTGAAATTTGGCGAACGCTTGGACAGCAGCACGTCATAAGCTGTGGGCACTGTCAGAGCCAAGCTCTTGCCGTGTCCCTCAGCCACTCGTTCTATCCCCTGCACAGCAGAGGACCCCACCGCTAACGTACTGACACCCTCTTTTTATAACATTCCTGTGCTATCCCTAAATGAGTAATAGACCCTGTCTTTACATATACTTTGAAGAAATTAATGTGATGCCTTGTGATTTAAAGGAGAAAGGAATTTTATAACATACATTTCAATAAGTAAATGCTCAGATATAAAGAAAATTTCAGATGTTTAAAACTATAATGGCTAAGTTTGAATTTGAGAGAGGTAAGGTAACGTTCAGTGGAATGTTGTTGACACTCTTTCCCTACAGTTGACGTTTTGAAATAAGGACTAGGAAAAGATATTCAGATAGATGGTGGAGGGACAGATGGACAGACAGATAGACAGATATGCAGACTCCCTGGGACGCAGAGTAATGAATGCCAGTGGACACAGGAACTCCTCACCAGCTGGTAAAGCTTCACAAATGTTGCTATCATCTGTGATGTGGTTACGCAATGATGAGCCACCCTTGGAAAATTCCAAACAAGTCAAAGTGTAACCTTCCCTCAACTCACACTGCATTGCATTCTTGCAAAATTCTTTGCATATTAAACCTGCGCAAAAAAACTGTGTTTGTATGGAAAGCAAACTTAGGACCTAGGCTCAGATAATTGCAGTGAAAGCAAGTTTTTCGCAGTACGAACACACAGCAGGGCATTTGGAAGTCATGTGGGGTACAAGGCAGTCCTGGTGGGTTGTACAGGGCCTACCTGGAGGCCTGTATCCCTGGAATCCACCCCCAAGTGCTGGCAGCACCGTCCTCCTAGTCACTGAAACAAACAGTCCCTCCCCACAAATTTCCAGAACGTCTCTGGGGGAGATATTGCTCCCATGGAGACACCTTGTTCTCACCACATTCACAGGCTGCAGGGATTAGGGTGTGGGATCTCCGGGGTCATTCCTAGAAATTCTGCCCGCCCGCACAGTAGCCATGGTGCTGCCACAGCAGGACAGACACTTCATTGGAAAGAAAGGAGAAGTGAGTTGTTCGAGGCTGTACCCAAGCCAGTGGTTCACGGTTGTAACAACAGAAACCATCATTGAAGCAGGAAAGGAATTGGTGGGCAGGACACCCAGGAGCTAACAGAGTCGATGGGCAGCTCGGAGGGCCAGGCTTGGGCAGAAAGCAAGGGAGGGCAGACCCAGCCGGCGCAGGAGCAGAATTTCTAGGAATGACCCCCCAAGATCCCACACCCTAATTCCTGCAGCCTGTGAATGTGGTGAGGTATCACTGCTGGGATGGTGTTATGTTATATGGGACAGCTGACCTTAAGCTGTGTCACCTCATCACACGTGTCCCTTTAAAAGCAGAGAACTTTCTTGGCTGGTGCAGAAGAGGAAGTTAGGGAAACGTGAAGTGTGAGAAGGACTTGGGTCGTTGCTGGTTAGAGGATGAACAGGGACACAGGAGATGGCATGTAGAGAGCGACCCCTGCTGACAGTCAGCAAGGGATGGGGATCTCAGTCCTACAACCACAAGGATCTGAATTCTGTCAACCCCTGGGTGAGCTTGGAAACAGATTCTTCCCCTCAGCCCAAGGTCAACAGCACCTTAATTTCAGCCTTGTGGGAGCCTAGGCAGAGAACCCGGGCAAGCCTGCCTGGACTTCTGGCCTGCAGAATGTGAGATCATAAGTGGATGTTGTTTTGAGTGCCTCCGTTTGTGGTAATTTGTTATGGTTGCTAGGAACCAAATACAGCAACCCAAACAATCACACCCCATCTGTCTTGTTGGCACAATCTCAATTATTCCGTCAGGCACTGAGTGGCCAAGTGCTTCCAGACAGGAGATCTGATTGGTTTAAGCTGATCATGATTATTCCTTCCTTTTGCCAAGGATTGGTTTAGGAACAGGCATGTGATGTGATCCTGGCCAATGAGAGATGAGGGGAGGTCTTCCAGGAGGGTCTCTGGGAACAGAGAAGTTGAAGAAGGAAGTTATTTTTCTGTCTCTGGATGTGGCAGTGATGCCTGGGCCATGGCAGCTATCTTGTGACCATGAGGGGCCTTTGCTGATAGGCCAAGATGACAGGCTAAGAGTCGAAAGATGGAGAATTGGGTCCTTGCAAACATCACTGAGCTGCTGTCCCCTGGACTTCTCATGCAGGATTATCAATGTCCCTGTGGTTTAATCCATTGTGAGTTGAGTTTTCTGTTACTTGCAGCCTGAAGCACTGTCACTGATAAACACTTCACAGCACTGCTTGGGCGTTAAATGAGGTTGTGTATGTGAAGTCGTTAGTGCAGTGCATCATAACCACAGGTGCACAGAAACGCTGGCCTCTGTTCCCTCCTGCCTCAACCCCTGGTTGAGTCAGGGTTCACCCAGAGAAGTGGGGCCAGTAGGGGATGCCCATCTACATCCACGTCTATAGCTACAGTGCTGTCTCAAGAGCTTGGTAACCAGGAAGTGGCCTCTGTGCTCAGCGAGTCTGAAATCCAGAGGCAGGGGAGCGCACAGGCGGCCTAGACCCTTGGGCACAGCAGAAACTGTGTCCACAGGTGGAACCTCTTGGTTTCAGGGAAGCCCTCAGCCTTGCTTTAAGGTCTAGCAAGTGATTAAATGGGGCTCACCCAGATTAACCAGGATCATCTCCCTTACTCAGAGTCAACTGCTTAAAGACTTTAATTCATATGTAAAATGCCTCAAGGCAACCGTAGGTTAGTGCTTGAACGACTTGGACTGGAACCAAGTAACTCAGCAAGGTGACCCAGCCAGAGACCTTCACACCCCTGCATTCAGCCTTTTCTGAAATGGATAGAAGACGTTACTCTCATTTGCTTCCCTCTCTGCATTCAACCCTCTGACACCCAGTAGCCCCCGAGCTTTGGGAAGCTGCAGGGCAGACAGGACATGCAGGGCCTGGCCAGGGCTGGCCAGGAGTGGGGTCACCAGGCAGCCAGAGGTCCTGGAGGCTCGCACACTGGCTGCCTTTGCTGTGTGGCGTTTCCTGAGTGAAGGCTCGCAGGAAACAGAGACGGGTGTGTGAAAACAAAAGAACAACAGTAGGAAGAAGAGCTTGAGGGGGGGCCTTGGAGGAAGAGCCGAAAATAAATCCTGAAGAGGGGAGTGTGCAGACAGGCCTCGGGGCCTGGGAAGCCTTTCTGACTGTTCCTCGTTTCTGGTCCCTACCTGAATGCGGGGCACCGCCTCTACTGGGGGGTGGGTGCAAGGGGGTGTCTGAGCAGGCCCCCCACAGTCCGAGCTGCTAATCTGGCTCTGCAGTTCATCCCACAGATGAACTGTGTGCCGGAGACACTGTACTTACCAGAATGGCCCGACCTCCTGGAGCCTCCCTTCCCCTGGGCGACATGGACCCCGGTGAAGTCACAACAAAAATAAGGCCAGAGGCTGTGAGAGATGACAGGGAAGCAGGCTGGCCGGGCCGCGGCCTCTGAAGATGTCATGGGATGTAGCCAAGACAGCTGGGTGGACGCGAATTAGTCAGAAGCTGCCTGGGAGCAGTCGGGAAACCCTGTGCCTGAAGTGGACCAGGGAGGGGTTTGGGGTTCAAGGAGCAGAGAGGTCAACATGGCTGGAGGGGTGCACAGCGGGCAGAGTGGAGGAAGCTGGGGCCAGAATGGGGGCCCCATCTCTCAGGGCCACGGTCATGGCAAGGAGGCCCTCAGCCCAGGTATCTCAGGATGTGACTGTATTACTGTATTTGGAGACGGGGCCTTTAAAGAGGTGATTAAATAAAAATGAGGTCCTAGGGTGGCCCTCATCCGATGTGACTGGTCTCCTTGTAACAAGAGGAGGTTAGGACACAGACATGCACGGAGGAATGACTGTGTGAGGACGCAGGGAAGAGACGGCCGTCTCCAGGCCAAGGAGAGAGGCCTCAGGGGAAACCACTGCTGCCCACACCTTGATCTTGGACTTCCGGCCTCCAGAACTGCGAGACGGTGCCCATCTGTGGTTGATGCCGCCCAGACCGTGGTATTTGTCACGCAGCCCGAGCTGACTAATACACTGCCACTAACACACTGTAGCAAAGCAGCCACCTCCACCGTGCCCTCCCCTTATTCATCCCGTGTACTGTCACCTATTGGTCAGCGGTCTTCCCCCAGGACGTCAGCCCCATGAGGGCAGGGACCTTGCCTCGTTCATGGCTGTTTCCCTTGGACCCAGGGCAGCACGGCACTCTGGGCATGTGACAAAATGTGGTTGGACAAAGAACAGTCAGTGGTTAATTCTGACAGAAAATTGTGAAGAGACCCCACAGAGAATCTCTGTCCCCTCCCCGCTTCAGGGTCTCTGATGTCGGTGGCTCCAGCCTTCTCTAAGTCACCCCTGTCCTCTCAGGAGGATTCAGGGCAGGTGATGGGAGCCTCAGGCGTTTCCCATGGTCCGTGCACCTGCCCGGTCAGGAGGAAACACCTGCCTTTCTGGGCCAGGCCCTCTGCCCAGCAATGGCCACAGGGGCAGAAAGGAGGGGCATTGGGTGCCACTGCTGCCCACAGGAGCTCCCAGTCGAGTGGGACTGCAGAAGCCACCTCCCCTTCAATCCATCCGTGAGACCCAGGTCCTGTGAACCAGAGTGGCAGTGATTGGTCCAGAGTAGTCACATGACACCCCGCCAACTTAGCCAGGCAGCATATTCCAGCATCCCTGGTACCACTGATTGGTTCAGGGATGGGCGTGACCCATGTCAGGATAATCAAGAGTTAATCTAAGGATTTTCTTGGAGCTACTGGGAAAGAAATGCTCATTCTAGTGGGTTACCCCAGTAGAGGGATTGGTGCTAATCCTGGGCTCGGAGGCCCGAGCATCCCCTTTTTCATCTTCCCTTTGCTTGTTGCCACACTGCAGCCTTCACTCGTCTTGGATTCTCACTTCTAAGAGGAAGGTCACGAGGTGGAGTCTGTTGCTTTTGTCTCATGGCATCCTCCTCCTGTCTCCTGATAACAGCACCCACTTTGCTTTCAGGAACTGTCCCGCCCCCTACCTAGCATCCACCTCTCCCAGACCACAGGGTTGAGCGTGCGTCCTAGTTCTGGCTGGCTGGCGTATCCTAGCGCCCTGGCCACAGTGATGGCCTAGACGTGGCCTGTCACCCAGGCTGGGCTGGGCAGCGTTCTTCCCTGAGACTTTATCTGCAGGTGCTGGGAAGCAGTATGCAGGCCACTGAATTTGGAAAGTTACGGATCTGGGGTCACTGCAGCCTGTCCCCTCCCGTGTGGAGCCGGAGTGCGTGAAACCAAGCAGGGACAAGCAGAGGTTCGGGATGGATGGACAGTGCTGGTGGCACGGGATTTAAAGTCTGCTCCCTGCAGGTAAGCGCCAACTGATGACAATGAAATTGGTGGACGACTTACTGTGTGCCGGGCACAAGACGAAGTGCTTTTTACACGTTACCTCACTTAAGTCTTGCCTATGATGTAGGCACTAAAACTAACCTCATTTTCCAGATGAGCAAACGGAGGCAAAAACAGGTAGAGTCAGAGCCTCTCAAGAAGGGTCAAGGCACCAAAGAAGATGGATAAAGCAGGCAGTGGCCAAAGGCGACCGACTGGTCTGGTACTTCAGGCCACCCCGGGTCCTGTGCGGCTGCCCCTGACTTGGGAAACCGATATCGTGGTCCTCTTGTCACCTCTCTGTGTGCCTGAGGCCACCCACCTGGCTTGGAACTGGGAAAGCAGGGCTCGCAAACGTAGGGTCTCAGAGCATCCCCAACTAACCTCGAAGGCACAGAGCCGAGGCCTGTTCCCGAGCCCCGACGGAAGCAGCGCGAGAGCCCAGGACTCTTGGGCCCCTGAGGACTGAGTCCAGCCTGGGCTATGCCCTGACTGCCTGGGTGACCTTGGCCAGATCACCTCAGGGAGGGACTCTATCGATCGAACAACTCACCAGGTGGTCCCCGGCTCCTCCCCCCTCACTGCCTGCACTCATTCCCCCGGGCTCCGATGCCCTCTGGGGCCCCGCCCTGGCTGTTGGGCTCACACAGACGCGCACTTGTGGTTTCTGGGCGGGCCTTGCTTTTCTGGATAGAAACAAACAGATGTCCTGTGCTTTCTGCCTTTAATAGCGTGTGGAGGCCACGTTTCTGAGGCACATCGCAAAGACTCATCACAGAGCCCGCCCCGGGCTTCTGGTCAGGAGCAGACAATGAAACCCAAACCCCAGTGTGTTCCAAGCACTGTTAGGTGAGTTCCTGTAACTTGCGGCTGAAGGGCATCCCCAGCTGATGAACCCACCGCTAGAGATGTCTTCCCAGCTGCCCCTGGAAGGTCATCTTTACGCAGGTGTGGTGTGACCGCCCACGTGCCATACTGGCCGTAGTGGGTAACCTGTGGCCAGTGGAGCTAGAGGTGTCGGGGATGCAGCGAGAAATTGTAGGTGGGACTTGAGTTTAGGTCCAGGCAGTGTGGCTTCTTAGCAAACTCTGGCTGCAATTTCAGGGTGACGTAGCAGGGGGATAAAAGGTCCGGTAATCCCCCATCGGTCCCGGCCGGACCCTGAGGACTCAGGAGGAACCACAGTCACCTGACATCCCCCTCCTCAGCCTGTACGCAGTGGGATCCTTTGCTGAACTGGGCTCCTGGGGGTCCGTGACTGTGAACGTGACCAGGTAAGATTCTCGAGGCACGGTTCTCACTCCCACTGACCCCTGAGGTCCTGGCTCACCATCCAGCCCGCAGCGCATAACGTGCCCACGACACGTCGGAGCGCTCTGTTAACGCTAGGGTGAAAGCCACTCGTGTTTGCTCTCCCCAACCGAGCACGAGGTGAGGACACCACGGCTGGCTCTGGGTGACCCCTTGCTGGCTCCTCCACCCAGAGGTAGGTCCCCCTTGTCAACCTGGCTGCTGCCTGTGGCTCTAATGCCTGTTTCACCCTGCAAATCCTAAGGTGCTGTCCTTGAGGAAGGCTCTGACCTAGAATGGAGAATGGCAGGTTGAGGCTCTGCCCAGCTCCAGGTAAGGCCTCCAGGCGTGGGGCTGGTGGTCTGTCCCTTCTCAGGCGCTGGACCCAGAAATGGTCTCCTCACCAGCCTCCTTGCCTCTCACCTTCCCTCCTGCCCATTTGTCCTTCACAGGCAGCCTGAAGCGTTGCTCTGAAGCTCAAAGTGATCACTTCACTTCTGTTTCAAGCCCTTCTCTGTCTCCCTCGTTCTCTGGGGTGAAGGCCTCGTGCCTCAGCCTGGTGCTCAGGGCCCTTCGCCATCCTCGCCTGCCCTTCCAGCTTTCTTTCCTGCCACTTTCCACCTCAAACCGCCAGCCACAATACGTCTTCCTGTTCCCAAGAGGCACCAAGGCCTTCACACCTCCAAGCCTTTGCACTCACGGCAACCTGAATCTGCGATACCTCAGAAAACTCCTACTCATCCTTCAACACCCAGCTCAGATGATGGCATTCCCCTGAGAGATGCCCTAGCCATCGTCACTCACGCTGGGGTCAGGGTCCTGTGCTTGCCCACACTGTGCAATTCCGGTAGGACCCTGCCACTCAGCTGACACTGTCCACTCCTTGTGGCGGTCGCCACACACATAGGGTTCTCTGGGGCCAGACTCTGTTCGTATCAGCAACACCAACGACCACTACCATTACTATTTATGGGGGGTACTGTGATAAGGGATAAATAAAATAATAATCTCCAGCATTCGTCGAGAGTTTTCTCAAGGCTAAGCGTTATTCTAGGTGCTTTGTACATATTAGCACCTTATCTTCAAATTCCCTATGAGGTGAATATAATAATCATTATTATTCTTGTCACCCTCATTTTACAGATGAGGAAAAGGAGGCTCACAGAAGCAAAAATGACTGAGACATGGGCTCCCCTGGTGGCACAGTGGTTAAGAATCCACCTGCCAACGCAGGGGACACGGGTTTGAGCCCTGGTCCGGGAAGATCCCACATGCCGCGGAGCGGCTGGGCCTGTGCGCCACAACTACTGAGCCTGTGCTCTAGAGCCCGCAAGCCACAACTACTGAGCCCATGTCCCACAGCTACTGAAGCCTGTGCGTCTAGAGCCCATGCTCCGGAACAAGAGAAGCCACTGCAATGAGAAGCCCGCGCACCGCAACAAAGAGTAGCCCCCGCTCGCCGCAACTAGAGAAAGCCCGCACGCAGCAACGAAGACCCAACGTAGCCAGAAACAGTAAATAAATAAATAAATTTATTTAAAGAAGAAATGACTGAGGCAGGTCTGAGACCAGAGCTGTCTGCTCAGCCTGCACCTCCCTGCCCCCACATCACTGAACACACACGTCCAGGGCAACAGGGCCCCACCCCACTTCACAGATGAGGTAACTGAGGCACAGGGGGAGGGGCCAGCTCAAGGTCCCACCGTAAAGCTGGGATTCAAGCCCAGGTTGGGCCGGGCCTCCCGAGCTCGGCCCTCCACCCACCGAGCCCCCGTCTGCATCTCAACGGCCCGGGTGGGCCTGCAGCAGGTGCTGGGCCAGCAGTGTCCCTTTGTGAGCCCGGGGTATTGTCCCCTGGACAAAGCCCTCAATTCCCACTAACGGCCACCCACACGCTCACTTCTAAGGATAAAGGAATCTGCAGCCAGCCGCCCCCCAGCTCCAGATGGCGGCCCCCGCCCGTCTGCTTCCCTCCTGACCCTCTGACTCTGCGCCCACCCCGCATCAGGCCGGGCTGCTGCACTGGGGCGGAAGAAAAGAGGTGGCCCTCCAAGGCCTCATCTTTGTGTCCTCAGCATGGTGGCCGGCCCAGTGAGCTGCCCTACGCCTCCCTCCCCGCCATCCATCCCAGCCTTTTCATCCTTCCCAGGCAAGACACAAAGCCACAGAGGCGGCCCCTCCTCCGGCTCCAGCTGAGCTAGCTTTTCTGTCTTCTGGGCGTTGGAGCCCAGCCCCTGCCCAGCAGTGCTGGCCCCAGGCAGCTGCCCAGGTGTCTTAAAGGCCCAGCTTCTCCTCCGTGGCGCAGGGCAGAGAAATGGCTGAGACACGGGGCTTCAAGAGAATCTAGTCACCGGGTGGAGGATGGTTCCCCTCGAAGCAGGATCAGGCCATTGGACCACTCAGGGCTCGCCTGGTGCTGGACTCCCGCACGCCCATGCCCTTTCTGCCAAGACGTTTTTGAGGCTGCATCCATCCATATGCTTGTTGGTCCGTTCACTTGTTTATTCACCATCTTACTGGGAGCCCTGGGCCTGCTGCTGGGCCAAACAACGTCAAGACATCGTGCTTCCCTAGGAGGGCTCATGGGCTGGGCCAGGAGGCCAGTAATCCGGATCCTTTTGGCCCATCCTCCCAGCAGGTTCTGAAGCACTGAGACAGGCAAGGTTGGTGACGGTGCAGAGTGCCCCCAGCTACCCCAAAGCGTTCAGCAGCCTGGGAGAGCTGACTCTGAGACAAGCCTGTCCTGCGCTTAAGCAGGCTTCCTTCCGGGCCCTCCACTCAGAGATTCTCCAGTTGCCACAGGTGGGCTGTTCCCGAGACAAGAAAGGGGATTTGGGCTGTGACTTCCCGAGAGGAGCAAAGGCAGGGGTGTGTGTTATTTAACACACCTGGGATACGTGCTCCCGTGATTCTCCTGGGAGGATCTCAGTCTCAGAGTTCGACAGGGTTGGCTGTGGGTTTGTATATGTTTGGTGGGTAAGTGACTAAAGTTTGGTCAATCAGAGCATCCAATCATCCCGGCCCCCTGATGGGTTCTGGGATGAACATGTTTCCAGCTTTGTCCATTGAGGCGCAGCCTGGCACTCCAGTGGGATAGCTCAGACAAGAGGTGACCTTTCGAGATGTAAGTGCCCCAGAGGCTACCAGGGGAGAGAACTTGCCTGAGGGTGAAGCAGAGCTTCCATTTCCTGGTGACATTGTTTGAGTACCTGGATCCAGCCAGGCCTGAAGCTGGACATGCTTAAACTGTACTGAGAGCCAGCTTTTTTAAGCAAGTCAGTTTGAGTCAGGCTTTCTGGCACTCATCTAAGAGACCTGGCTGATAGGAAGAAAGAGAAAACAGAGGAGAGAAAGGTGGAGAGGGTTTGGGTGTAGTTTGGGAGAAGTGACAGGGGAACACTCTAGATGGATGGGGGCAGAGGTTAAATGACACTGTGTAAATCGTGACATCAAGTATTCCAGATGAAACTATTTGCATCATGGCAACGTAATCCGCGTCTTCCCCTCTGGATCATCTGTCAGGGTTACTGTGCTCACAAAGGTGCCGGGAGGAGGGACTCTCTTGTGCGATTTGGAGGAGTTGAGTCTCCCATCTGGGACGAGGTGGACCCAGGAGACCAGCCGTGGGAAGCAGAAGCTGATGGGGTTGTGGTGGACCGGGTAATCCTCCGCAGACTGGGCTGGCTGGGTGAGCCCAGGGTCTTTGTCCAGCTCCAGGAGGCTGCAGGTCACATTGACATGTGGAATCCTTGTATCTGATCCAGGACTCCCATGGTTCTGAAAGCAGCAGTTGCTCTCTTGGGGCCCCTCTGCACAAAGCATGTTTGTGTCCCAACATGTGTGTTCATGGCCTGTTCCACTCGGGCCCAGGAGACCCTCAGAGGGCAGTGGGCATGCCGGTACCAGTTCTGTGTACCCAGGTATCCGCACAGGGCTTTGTCCATAGAAGGTGCTTAGAAAACGTGGAACGAATACATGAGCGTTTCCAATGGCTTAAATATTTACTGTCTGTTCTCTTAGGTTCCTGGTCAGGATGGTGGATTGAGGTGCTATGGGAAGCTCTCTTTCTATGTACAAACACACAGAAGTGCTGGACAGAATATAACCATTTAAAATAATCCAGTCAAGGTCAAAACCAAAAAGGTAAGATGCCCAGCTTGTGTGGGAAGAGGAGATGGAGCTGAATTGCCCCTGAGGGGTCAGGACTTGGGTTCTGAGGCCCAAGTGGGGAAGGGGCAGGAGACCCTGCGTGCTGAGTGAAGACAGGGAGGCCGCTGCAGGAAGCCCGGGGCCATCCAGGGCCGTCTCATCCGCAGACAGAGGCGAGGAAAACCCTGCTGACTGACCGTGGGATGTTATCCTAAGGAGTGGAGCTCAACTTCTCCCCGCCTGTGTAGTGAGAAACTGAGCTAGGAAACGCGTTTAGAAACCAGCCGAGAATCAGGCCCTGGTTGAGGCAGAGGGCGAGCTCCATGACCCTGGAGATCAGGGGGACCCTTCAGGATCCTGGCTTCTGCTAACGCTAGGCTCACGGGCAGCAACCACAGAGCACACTGGGAACTCATCATCACGACGGGAAGAGCTGGGCAAGCTCGGGGTTACAGCACCCCCAAAGAGACGTGACAGGAGGAGGTTTACCTGAGAAACGGGGAAAGGACTGGGTAGAACCCACAGCAAAGGACTGAGTGGGAGGGAAAAGAAGGTGCAGGTTTGGGAAAGAACTAAATAGAAGTCTGAGCAATGAGGAAGAGAGTTGCTGAGGTTGCCCTTGAGGAGGTGGCAGAGAAGGGGAAGGAGGTTTGATTTAGGGTTGGGAAGCTCAGCTGAGCTCTGCATCCATCAAGCTTGGCTATGTGACTAGTGTTCTCAACTGTCCTATCCCCTCCCCTTTCCTTTCTCCAAAGAGGGAGAGCTTTGGGGGCAAGTCAGCCCACAAACCTGCAAGCTCTGCCTACAGAAGACGGGGAGAGGAGGTTTGCTTCTGGGGCTGGGTGAGGTTTAGGGACAGGGAAGTGAGTGACAACCATCCCCTAATCACCGTGTGAAGGTCACTCTCTGGTCCTTGGTTTCCTCATTCACTGGGCATCTCCTTTGGAGCCTCTGCAATATCTGCTCCCTTTTTCCTTCCTAAGGGAGCCTCAGGTTTGTTTGGGGCATCAATATCACCAGACTCTCTTGCAGGTAGGGGCAGCCACGTGACGCAGTTCTGGCCAAGTTGATGGAGGTACAAGTTCTGGCGGGAGAAGGTGAGGGAGCCTCTCCCTGAATAGAATGGCAAAGCTCACTAGAAGAAAATCCTTCCCACCCCCAATATCACTGGTCCTTCTTATGCCTGGACAGCAGACATGAGGCCTGGAGGCGCAGCAGCCATCTTGTAACCATGAGTCAGCAACAAAAAAGGTAAAGTGGAAAGACAGAAAGAACACAGGCTGTGGGGGCAGACAGACCTTCCTTTTCCACTTTCTGGCTGTGTGGCCTTGGGTACGTCACTTAACTTCTCGGAGCCTCACTTCCCACAACCTGTAAGATGGGGATAAAACCTCTCCCTTGAACAGTCCTTGTGAGGATTAAATACTGTGTTGAGTATGGATCCACTTTTTCTCCTGTAAAGAGCTATCCCAATGTTTGGAGTTATTTTTACAATCATGCTGTGACAACTACTTTAGAGCAAAAGAAAGAAGAGACCCTTTATTTCTCCTCTTGGAGAAAGTTCCAAGGCGGGATACGGGCCTCGAGCCAATGGGCCCTGCTCTTTGGCCGATCAGCTATGCAAACAGGAAGTGACTGTCCAAACATTTGGAGCTGCAGAAGGCTAGCCCAGAGCCGGCCTCCTCTCTCCACCGTGGTGCGTCCTCGTCTCCCCGCTGGGAGCACCTCAAAAGTCAAGGACATGGTTCCCCAGATGAGGAACTAGGTTCAGAGCCACCCCTTCTGGCTGCCCTGCCCACCAGTCTGGGCCAGACCGCCTGCCTTTCGGGCTGAAGTCGGACGGCAGCCTCTTGCCCGGCTCCCACTGTCTTCTGCCCTTCCCCTCTCCTTCCATCTCTTTGTCACAGCTGTAGTCAGGGTGATTTTTTTGCAGTGCAAGTCTGTTCCTGTCGCCCCCTTGCTAGAACTTTCCCATGGCTTCATGCTCTCTCGGGGGAAAGGCCGAAGACCTCGTCACAGCCATTGGGGTTGGCCTGGCCTCGGCCTGCCTCTCCAGCTCTACCCCTCCAGCTGCTGTTTTAGCTGCTGGACCGGGCCAAGGCCCCTCCTGCCTCTGCGCTTGGCCCACACTGTTCCCGTTTTCTAGCACGCTCTCCCCCCTCCCCCTCCCTGGCCCATCTCGCCAGGTAACGTCCCACCCTCAGCACTGCACTCCCGGGTCAGGTGTGCAGGCGCTGGCTGAGCCTGCAGCAGGCACGCCGAGGGCCCTGCTCTCCCTGACAGCAGGCAGCCAGCTGTTGCCACACGTACGCTCACGTGGGGACCTCACGCACTCACGAGTGCTGCTCGGGGTGAGGACTGCGGAATGTCTTGTTCAGAATGACACCCCCTGTGGCTGGCATAGTCCCTGTGCAGAGCTGGTGCTCAGTAAATGTGGAAGGCAGGCAGGCCGGGTGCCTTGTGGTTTGAAAGGGAGGGAGCTCTGTTTACCGAGCACCTAAGTGAGCCAGGCAGGGCCTCACTGCCTCTTCACAGCCTCCCTGGCAGGCAGGGGCCCCAAGCTCTGTTCCATCCAAGAGGAAACAGGGACTCTGAGGGGGGCCATGACTTGCCCAAAGTCACACATCTGTCAGAGGCCCTGCCAGGACTTGAACCTTGGTCCCGAGCCCAGCTTCCTACCCTGGTGGAGCTAGCACAAGGGATCACTGTGCATCTGTTTCCTCACCTGGAGAATGGGGACATAACGGTACCTACCTCACAGGTCTGGTGGCTGTGAGGACTCAGTGAGGTTAAGTGCTTAGTCAGGTTAAGTGCTTAGCTCAGAGCCTGGCACACCTTAGGTGCTCGGTAAGTGTTAGCTGTTATCATCTTTGTTATTGCACGGATCAAAGAACAAATAAGAACAAATCTATCGTATTACCCCCAGCGAATAGGCAAACGGAGGGGCTTTATGGGTAAACAGGCCCACGGATGGATGGGTGGGCGAATACCTGAAGACGTGAACAACACGGGGACGAGTTGAGGGGAGGAAAGCGCACCTGAGGTTCAGGAGAACGGGAGCTGATCTGGGGCACCCGGGCCGCCGGCTCACCTGTAGCGCCGCAGCTCGCCCTCCAGCCGCCGCACCCAGCGCTGCAGGCCGGGCACCTGCCGCGCCAGCGCCTCGAGCTCGCGCACGCGCGCCAGGCTGCGCAGCACTGCCTGCCGGGCCTCCTCCGCGCGCCGCCGCACCTCGGCCTGGCCCCGGCGCAGGCGCCCCGTGCGGGCCTCGGCTGCCGTCAGCGCGCCCCGCGCCTGCCGCAGCTCCCGCGCCGCCGCCGCCTCGGGCCCGCCGTGCGCCGCCTCCTGGGCGCCCGCCTGGCTCTTCCAGAGGCCGACCTGCCGGAACAGGGCAGCAGGGCAGGCGGTGAGCGCCTCGCGCCAGACCCCACCCGGCCCAGGGCGCGTGAGCAAAGCAACCCGGCACGTTTCTCGCGCTCGTGCTCGCCGCCCTGGGCCCATCTGAACTCATTTAACCCTCGCCCTAACTCTACCGAGGCGGGAGCTCATGTCACTCCCTTTTAATGGATGCGGGCCAGTGAGGCACAAAGCCCATATTCTGTTGTTTGCACAGTTCCAGTGAGTCCCAAACGCCTGCACTCTTCTCTGTCCACCTCCGGCCCTCAGGGCACGCCGCTCCCTCGTGCTCCTCCACGCCCTAGACTGGGGAGCCCTCTATGGGCGTTCCCGGCCCTCCTCGCTGTCTGCTGCTAGGCAGCCGCCTCCTTGAGGGTGCGGTTTTCTTCTGTCGTGTTCACTGCTGGGCATCCGGCGCCTAAAACAGGCCTGGCACACAGTAGGTGCTCAGCAAATACTTGGGGAACTAATGATCCTGGACGATCTTACTCCACACAATGGCAGTACTTTCCCGCCCCGACTTGGCTTCTCCGATGTCCGCTGGCCGTGGCCCCTGAAATCCGCGTCTTGCACCCCTGCGCACTCCCTGGCCTCTCTCTACCCCTCAGGGCTGTGAACCCGGGCTGTGTGGGGAGCGGGCAGGGCTACTAGAACGTCAGCTCCCTCCTGGCCTGTGGTCCCTTGGGTCAGAGGCCGTCTGGTCCTCGTCTGACCCCCATCCCCCCATGGCCTTTGACACACGGCTGGGCACAACGCTCAAGTGCTTGTTGACTGAATTGCAGATGCCTGGGCTGGGTCCATGCCTCTCTCAGTGCCTGGCCCCCGCAGCGCTGAGTGGCCAGACCTGCCTGGTCGACAGTGACACTATCTAGCATTGGGACACCAGGCCTGGCCCTGAGGGAGGCCCTCCAATGTTCGTTGAGTGACTGCACCGAGCTGCCTGTGTACCTCGTTAGCTCCTTAAGGGTGCGGACAGGCCTTCCTCACACCTTATCTCCTAGGCCTCCTGGAATCCTGGCACCGCGGAGAGCTCCGGAGGCGTATGTGTGTGAGACTGACCAGGTTTCCTGCGAGGGTCCACGGCTGGGTCAGAGAGGCAGGATGAGATGGGCTGTGTGTGTGTGTTGGCGGAATGGTTTTCTCTGAGGGACTGGAGTTTTGGGGGGCTGGAATGTGTGATGTGAGTAGGGGAGGGGACTAGAGTGTGTTGGAGTGGAATGGGGTGGCTAGGGACAGGATGCAAGTAGGCTGAAGTGGGGAGGGCTGCCCTTCACCCGCCCCCGCGGCGCCCCCCCCCCCCCGTCCTCTTCCTCCGCACAGCAGGGGCTCTGCAGCCAGCCCGCTGTCAAATGCCCCCCACCCCCCGCCCCATTCCGTCGTCACCCTCCGCCCCGGGACCAGGTGCACCTGCAGTGCTAGGCAGCGCGCGTCACTGCTCTGCAGCGCGGCCCGCAGGTCCTCCACCAGCTCACGCAGGCTGCTGTTTTCTTCCTCCAAGCGCGCCAGGCGTTCGCTGTCCGGGCCGCCGTCGGAGCCGGGCGTATGGGGCGCTCGGCGGCGGCGGCGCGGACGGCGCAGGCGGATCTGCGTCTCGATGTGCTCGCTGAGAGCGCCGCGGGGCAGACGGGGCCCGGCGCGGGTGCCAAAGTAGCCGCAGAGGCGCGCGTGGAACTGGCGGAAGGTGAGCTCAGGCGGCTCGGCGCGCAGTGCCAGGCGCGCTTCCTCCTCCGCATCCGCGTCCCCATCGGTGGCCACCCCAGCGATCACATCCCCGGAATTCGTGTCTCCCGCGGCTGTATCCCCGGCAGCCTCCCAGGTGGCGGCAGCCTCCTCGGCGCGCAGCCCCAGCACCGCGCAGAGCGCGCGGAAGTCGGCGCGGGGCAGGCGGCCGGCGCCTCGGCAGTCCAGGTGGTGGAAGACCTCCTGTAGATACTGGTCCAGGCCCGTGGCCAGCACCACGATCTCGTTCTCCACGCCTCGGTCCAGCCCGTAGTGGTGCGCCAGGGCGCTCAGCAGCCACTGTGTGCGCCGCGCTGGTCGCTGGTACGGGTCGCCCGCCGCGCCTTCCACGCCGGTCCCCGTGCCCGGGCCGCTGGGCTCCATCGCCGCCAAGCGCCGCTCCTCGGGTCCCTCCGCCCCGCCACTTCCAGGGGCGGCCCCAGAGTTTCTTGAAAGGAGGGGCTTAGCGGTGGCGGTCTGGTTGGAGCGGCGCCGAGGGCCGTGTCCAGCAGCTGCGCTGGCCTGGCAGGGCGTTTGTGTTTTCTCCGGGTTGGCTCTGAGGGGGCTTGGTTAGGGAACCCAGGAGCCCCGAGACCCCCGTGGGGCCACCACTGACTGGTCTCCCTCCTGATCTCGCTTCTCTCGGTGACCCCTGCACTCTTCTCCCCTCATCACTCCCGGGGCGTCCCTGGCATCCCCTCTTTTCCTCCCATTCCCGGGTCTGTCTGCTTTCAACTCCCCCGCTCTCCACCTAGCTGCGTTGTGCAGAGAGTGTGGCCCGAGACGGGGACAAGGGGTGGGCTCGGGATAGGAAGCTGGGGAGGGCTGGAGGGTGGCCCCCTGGTCCGGTGGCCCCCAGGTCTGTTCCACGCCCACGCGTCACTCCACCCCTTCTCGCCAGAAAACTTTTCAAGCGTAGCCCCGCAAGCTAGCTGGGGCCGTACTCCCGTAAGTACGGAGAAGCCCCCCTCCCCTTAAATTCAGCGACTGGGTTCCTAAACCCGCTTCTCACTCCACCAGGGCTGGTGCAAAGGGCCTCACGTGGTAACTAGAGCAGAGGAAAACCCAGCTCCGAGAAGTGAGGGGATGCGTTAGGGCCATCCCGCTGGATAGAAGCCGATCTGAGCCGGACCCTTGCTCTCTAAGCTCTGTGTGTGTTGAAGCGGGGGTGGGGTGGGGGGGTGGGGGGGTGGGGGGGTGGGGGGGTGGTGGTGGTGGTGGTGGTGGTATAGGAAAGCCGTGGCCTTCCATCTTCTCACCCGTTTGTGCCTGGGGAGTGGATTGGCCCTGCGACCGGAATTCCACCTCTGAGCTGGCGTTAGGCTACCAGGTAGCTGTTTGGCCAACACTTCCTCTGGTGCCTTAGAACACCGCTCTGGAAGAGGAAAGAAAAATCAGCCTCTCAGGTGAATGTAAGGCTGCTTTTCCTTTTTTTTTTTTTTTTTTTTTTGACAAGAGAGGTGTAGAGATGTCCTAACCTGATACCTGCACTGGGAACCCTCATCCAGCCTCGCAGGAGTAAGAGGCAGATTTCTTCAACTGCCTTTGGCTATACGATGGGCAGAATCTGGCTTGTGTACAGCTCTAGGAATTTCAGTGTTAAATCCTGGAATTTGAAAAAGCACTAAAATTCTGTCTCCTCTGCTGCAGTACCCCAGAATAAGCACTTTGTCCATTTGGCAGATTTCTACTCATTCTTGAAGACTGTGCCCACCACTCACCTCTGCCAGGAAGGAGTTAGATGCTTCTCCCCAACCATTTTGGATGTGCATTTAAAAAAAAATGATTAAAGTGGTAGCAATTTGACAAAAAATTTTACATCAACTCCAATGCTTGGCTTCCGCCTTAGAAAAAACACATGTGTACAGGATGTTCATCGCATCGTTGTTTATAATAGTGAGAAACTGGAGACAACATTTTGCCCATTGGTACAGCAGCCGGGATGAATCACCACAAAAGGATGAGAGAAAAAAGCGACAATAACGATAAACCCACACGAAACGGTACTAAAGATTTTCTGGGAGGACATGTGTATGTAAGCGCATAGAAAAAGATGGAGGGATTCACAAACGGATTCAGTCGTTATTTCCAGGGGTCGGAGGAGTTTGGCTTTCAGTGTAACATCTCTCTTTTTGACAAAGGAGATGTTTTTGTTTCTTTTCTCTTTTTCTTTTGGGGGGGGGAGGACATACTTTATTTGCCATTTACAGACCACAAAGTTCACCCGTTTAAGGTATATTAATAAGTGGTTTCTGGTATATTTATAGAGCATATAACCAGCATCACAATTTCATTTTTAGAACATTCTCATCACTCACCACCACCCCCAAAAAAACCCTTGTACTAGATAGCCCACCCACTGCTCCAGTTTCCTACCCTCCACTCCCAACTCCCAGCCCTAGGAAACCACTATTTTCTGTTTCTATGGATTTGACTATCGTGGACATTGTGTATCAAACAGAATTATACAATATGTAACCTTTTGTGACTGGCTCCTTTTTGAGAACGTTAACAATAATGTTTTCCAGCTTCAACCAGGTTGTAGCTGGCATGCGGTTCATTCCTTTTTATTGTTGAGTAATATTCCGTCGTATGGATGGACCACCTTTGGTTTATCCGTTCATCTGTCGATGGACGCTTGGACTGTTTCCACTCTTTGGCTGTTATGAGTAATGCTGCTGTAAACATTCATGTAGAAGTTTTTGTGTGTTCATATACTTTCACTTTTCTTGAGCATATACCTAGGGGTGAGGTTGCTGGGTTTTGTGGTAGTTTTTTTTTTTTTTTTT